CCATTTACATTACAGTGAACCCAGGTAACAACCCTGCAGAATCCACCAGTGAATTCTGTACCTGACTGTTCTGTTCTAGACAGGTGCAAACCTTTTCTTTCCTTGCCATGGTCCCCTTATCCATACAGGATAATAACCACTTACATATATTTACATGATATGAGGTATGATAAGTCATCTAAATACATCTAGGATGCATGTAGGAAATATGTCAATATTATGCCATTTTGTAAGGAGGACTTGAGAATCCTCAGGTCTTCTATGGGGGCTCCTACAACCCAACCCCTGCAGGTACTGAGGGACGGTTGACTTCCCTCTTCCTTTCCTTGCTTGCTGAGCCCTCGTTTGCTGATGGAGATTTTGCACAGATGTCCCCACTATGTGGCAGAAAGGGCCTTTCCTTCCCTGCACTTCCAAAGCATCCTTCTCCTTGCTCATCCCTAGACCATGCAGCTCTGTGTGACAGAGGGCTCTTTATGACTCTTTTCACCCTACAGTGAGGGCTCCTGATGGTTCAGTACTCTCTAACTTGCTTTCATCTTTTCCCCGATCCCAGCTCAGAAGATGCTCAGAAAATGTGGGTTGATATTGAACTGCTATTCACAATCGTGTTAACTCATGTGTACATTAGGAAAGAGTGATGTTCAGTGGAGGGGAGGGGATAATTCAAGGATACAAGCTAATAAAATCAAGGTTATCCTGGGAATATTAAAGGCCTATAGAACACTTCAGGGTTAAGAAATTCAACTAGAATTTTCTAAAACATAATGAGTTTAGGCTTTCATTTTGGTGTGGATGTTATGACATCGATGTTACAGAATGAGTGTAACAAGTTGTGGGTTTCAGGTATAAAATCTTCATGTGATGAGGAATGAAGAAATCTCACTTCTCCACGTCATGCTACTGTACTATGCCATGACATGAGATCGTACCCAAGGACACTCCTGGCCACATCCTCCAAACTGGGTAAAGCTGAGGAGTGGCACACCCTAGCCCACACCTTTTGCCAACTCTCTAATTAATTGTCTTGTGATTCTTCTAGAAAAATGATGGGGAATCTGATTTACTGTGTTGGAGGAGACAAAAGTTTTATTCTTCTCTGTTCCTGGGAGAATGTATTGCCTGTACCTCCCTACTGTAGAGAGATTAGCTCATTTGAAGTTAGTGTAATTACAACATAGTGAAGGCGAGGTGCTTTGACTTCTGGTCATAGTAGATTGCAACAACAAAAATCTCTTGCCAGGAAAACACCTCCAGGTCCCTTGCTTGAGTGGTTATGTGTGTCAGATTTACATGACAGACAAGAATGAGAATTGTGAAACTTTTGCCCCCTAAGATGCTTCAGTGCTGTACACATGCACACACTTCCTGAGTAGGGCGCTATTGGGTGCCAGGGCCTCCGGTACCTCCCTGGGGTGTTCTTCCCTACTAAGTGATGCTGGTAGGAAACTGTGTCAGGTTACAGCAGGGTGCCTGGCCAGCATGAGCCTCTCTTCTGGTGTCATGTTAATGATACAAAAGCAATGGAAAGGGACCCTGTGGACATTCGTGTAAAATTCATTCATTTATTATTCCTGCAACAAAGCTTTGCTTTCAATCATTTCTAATTAGGGATGTTTGTTAATTGCTCATGTAGTGAACTAAAGATGAGATTTTGCCCGAATGGTTTACTTCTTGCCCAATAAATGATGTGTGCATGATTTGAGAGGGAAGTGTTTAGTACATTCACAAAAAAAGCACTATTTCTCAAACTTGTGAATATCAGTTTTCAAATGATAAAAAAAATCAAAATCCAAGAGGGATGTAAGAAACAAGGGCTTATCTAATAATAGTGCACATTAACAGGACCTTTGCTGTGTTGGGTACTGTGCAAACACATTGTATGGTCATGTCAGTTAAACCTCTCAACAGGTTTAAGGGAGCATGTTCTGCTATCATTCCCACTTTTATAAATGGAAGAACAAAGGCAGCCAGAGGTTTAGTTAATCAAGATTACACAGCTGATCACTGTGGTCCAGGGTGTATTTCAGGTAATCTGATACAAATAAGGAAGGAAGAAGGGCCTCAACTCTATAACTAACATTGCTTAATTATGTAAAATGAAAGTTTCAGGGTAGAACTGGGTAAAGGGTGTTTTGGTGTCCTTTATTCTCCATATCTGTCTATATTCTAACTTCACAGCACACCCCATCTGAAGCACCTTTTGCATAGAATTAAAGAGTTTCCAGGAGTAAAATAACCAGTATAAAAAATACCTGTTACTGATTTTCTACTTTCAGTGTTTGAGAAAGGCCCACTGGCTTGAGATGTGTATATGTCTTTTCTTTACAAAACAGTTCCCATTCAGATTCTTAATTTATTCTAACTTTTGCCCTTGTTATTTTATATTTGGAAATCTTACTTCCATATAGTCTGGTTAAAGAAAAATTAGGCCAAAGTATTAATGATGAAAATTTTTAGCAATACACCTTAGCTAGTAGCCCCCAGAGATGTCCATATTTTAATTATTGGAACGTGTGCTAAGATCTTCCCTCACAAGGCAAGAGGGACATTGCCAATGAAATTAGAATCTTGAGATAGGGAGTTTGGACTGAATTATCCAGGGGGCTTTCAGTAATCATAGGATTCTCATGAGAGAGAGGGAGGGGAATTGAAGTCAGAGGAGATGTGGTTAGGGGAGCAGGGTGATGTAAACCACAAATCAAAGAATTTAAGCAGCCTCTAGAAACTAGAAAAAGTGAGGAAGAGATTTCTCTGGGACTCCCGAGAAGGAACGCAGCCTCGCCTTGGGAAAATGATTTTTGGTTTCTGACTTCTGGAGGTAGAAGGTGATAAGTGTGTGTTCTAAACAACTTACATTGGTGGTTGTTGATGATTCCAGCAGTCAGGAAATGAACACAGGCTTGTGCCCGAGAATGGACGATTCAGGGCATGTCAGGGAAAGGAAGACCCCTCCCATCATAGACCACTGGGCTCACCAAGAATATGGGCAGGGTGGGAGTTAAGTAATCCTGCACGGGCACTTGTTTGCAAGCCGACTGCCTGCTGTACACCCTGGCACCACCATTTATGAGCTGTGTAATCTTGAGTAACTGAACTTCTGTCTGCCTTTGTTCTCCCATTTATAAAAATGAGCATGATAATAGAACTTGCCTTGTAAACTTGCTATGAGGTTTAACTGACATAATCCACACAAAGTGTTTGCACAGAACCTTGGCACATAGTAAAGGTGCTGTGAACATGGACTATTATTAGATAACTCCTCAGCTATGCAAAGGCTTGAGAGAGAGAGAGAGAGAGAGAGAGAGAGAGAGAGAATGTGTGTGTATGTGTGTGTGTGTATGTGTGTGTGTGTGTGTGTGTGTGTGTGTGTGAGAGAGAGAGAGAGAGAGAGAGAGTGTGTGTGTCTGCTGAAATTTATTAGCACATTTAATAAGGCCACTCTTTCTGTTGGGAAATCACATAAATGGTGCTTTCTCTACTCACATAAGGCTAAAAGAAACACCTACTTGTTCTGGAGGCAGTGACATTGTGGCTAAAGTCATGATCTTTGCATTGGTAGAATAATCTGTTTATTTTAATAGGGGGCACAAGAATAAACACACCTGCTTTCCATGCAAGAAACAGGTCTGTTTTTTGCAGTGAAACAAATAGGTGGTTGCCCTAACTCAGAGTACCCTAAGGCCTGCCTCCTTATGCCTGTTCTGATGCTCAAGGTAGGCAGAGCTCCTTAAAGTACCAGATATATTCTTGGGATTCGGGGGACCAAGAGGCGGGGCAGAGAGGGGAGGTGCATGTGGGGTCACTGTGGCTCTTGAGTTGTGGGAATGTGGGATCCTTCAGATATCATAACTGGCAGCTGGTCGTCACTGTGTGGAAGGTGGGGTGGCTCACTTTCCTTCCGTCTTCCTCTTCCATTTTACAGCACCTTCAGACAATGAAGTCCTTTTGATGCTTTATAGTAACTACCATAGGTGTCTTAGATGGACCCTAGTGTGGGTTGTTTCCCTCTGCGGATGGCATCTGAGTTGGTCAGGGTGATATAGTGGATAGGGGGGAGGCCAGGTGCGCAGAAGGCAAGAAGGTAACCAAGAGCAAGGGCACATTTGGCAAATTCCAGACAGCTGAGGCATGTGATGAGCATCAGGCTTGGGGCTAGTGATACTGCAGTTGTCCACCAAGCACAGTGTGTGAAGAGCCTGGGGTATCCAACTTAGGACTGGGGACTGGGTCTTTTCCCAGAGTGTGCAAAGGCTCCACATTGAAATAGACAGGATGAGAGTGGAATAAAGGTCCCTAAGTTTTGGAACCAAATGCTGGGGGTGGGGGGGAAGCAAAATAGTTTCTTTCCTTTAGGGATTCCCGGAGCCTATTAGACATTTTGAGTCTCACAGTAGTAGATATAATAGATAACACAGAAATGAGACCCAAAACTATGGTGTTGGGATTAAAAAAAAAAAAAAGTATGAGACCAAGAGATATTCAGGGTGAAGAATCAAAAACAACAGGAACCCAATCATATGAGGAGGTGGGCAGGAGAGAAGGCCAATGAGACTCCAACTGCAAGTTTGGGATCTTATGCAATAGTTTAGGACTTTGTATAATAGAGGAATCGAGTTTAAGAGAAGAAATTGTATTATAGGAAGACAATGGGTTTCAGATTTATTTTGAACTTGTTTCATTTGAGGCTTAAAAGGAGAGATGCTGATGTGCTGATGCTTAAGGACTTTTGGAAGTGTGTATTTGGGTGAGGAGTTTCTGAGGTGATGAACAAACTGGACGGAGCAGGATGGTTCCAGTCTTGGCATTAATGAACATTTCCGGGGATCATCGTATTTACAAAGTTCATATGCAAATCACATTCACTTATAAAAATCAATCAGTTCATCCTGTGGTCGTGGGTAGAGGGYCAAATGCTAATTCAGCTCTCTGGTGTCCACTCTGGTGTGTGGATGAGGATCCTTGTCATTTCTAAACAGAAGCCGTATCCTCTCATTTAGAATCACAGCGTGTGCCATGACGATGAATAAGTACGTGGAAGAAAATGTGTCTCAAAAGTCCTACACGACCATCAAGTACTTCATGAAGATGCTGAGCAGCGTCAGCGAGACCTTGATCTTCATCTTCATGGGCGTGTCCACGGTGGGGAAGAACCATGAGTGGAACTGGGCCTTTGTCTGCTTCACCCTGGCCTTCTGTCTGATCTGGCGAGCGCTGGGTAATGAGCACTTGTTTGCTCTACAAACATCCAAGGACGCTGACACAATGGGGCTTTCTTCTGGTCCCTCCCTGTGTGCTACAGCTGTGGCTTCATCTTCTTTGTTTCCTCTCCTTCCTTATGTACTGCTATCTACTCCTCTTTCTTCTCCTCCTCCTCTTCTCCCTTCCCATCTCCATTATCTTCTCTCTCTTCTTCTTTCTCCTCCTTCCTCTTTCTTTTCCTCCTCCTCCTTCTTCTTCTTCTTCTTCTTCTTCTTCTTCTTCTTCTTCTTCTTCTTCTTCTTCTTCTTCTTCTTCTTCTTCTTCTT